CTGAGCAGGTTTGACATAATGCTTGATAGCACAACTGGAATAGAACAGAGTGGTAATAGCTAATAAAATCCTTCTTTTGAGATGGACTTTATTTTCATTTTTGGATCCCTCTTTGCAGCATAAACGTTGGTTTGGAGGAGACTTGTCATGTTACGTCATTTCTTCATGATTTTTATTGCATTCGGTCATTGGGATGATATTCACACATCATAACCATGACTGATGCAGAGATCTTTTGGCATGTTTCTAGTAGGACTTTTTCATGTCTTCACATACAGTATATTTAATTGTCATCTAATGTACTTTTGTGACTTGAGTGGTAAATTTATTCTCATGATTATTGTGGAAACTGTTTGGATTCTCGTTCTTTGTGTTCCATTGAGAATAAACTTGTCATTCAAACCAATGTTACAAACTGGACTATGTGCACAAAGTTAAAGCATGAGTACATTTAAAGTAACCCCTGAACAGTTTTCCTTCAAGAATTTTCCAATGAATATTTAAATTCATTAGAATCAGAATCAGAATCTCTTTATTGTCATTGTACGAGAAGCACAGAGCAACGACACCTCTTGGGTAGAAACTGTTCTTTAGTCTGCTTGTCCTTGTCTTTATTACCCTGAAACGCCTCCCTGAGGGTAGGAATTCTAAGAGGTGGTGGCCGGGCTGTGAGGGATCCCTGATTAGATATAATAGGGAAGGGAACAGTTCACTCTGCAGCTGAATAAAGTGGGATAGAACCATTTTAAAAGTCCAAAAATGTGTTCTACGTGGCTTAGGCTTTTTTGTGGTAACTTTTTTTCATTTTTGTATGAAACAACCTGTATAGAAAGTATTCTATGTTTAGTTTTGTATTTTTGTGACATGCAGCTACGTATAGTTCAGAAAATATCACGAGCTAACTTGTGCATTATTATTATTTTTTGTGAACATGCGCTCAAAGATGGAACTTTTCATGACAGCTTCGATTGATTTCATATTTCTACCCACTCATAATCAGAGACCAGCTGATCTACTTGTACAATATATTGAAGATTCTGAATCAAAGACATGATGAGAAGTAACTTAGAATTTCTGAGATGTTGTCGTTCAAACGGCCTTAATTAGGTGGAAAATATAAAGATTATCTCTCAAAGTGCTTCATATATGAATCTAACATTTCTCAGATACCTTTTTAAATATTTATAGTGTGTGATTAAAAAAAAAAAAAAAAGCTCATATGTGATCAGCCGGTATCAGGAACCAAACTCCTCTTTGTTTAGTCAGTGTACCAGGTACACATCGGCTGTTATCGCGTACTTTAGCTTCATTAGCTGTGAAGTGACAATGCTGCAATCTTATGGAGACAATAACAACAGCTCATCATGCAGGAAGAAAAGCAGCTCATCAAATCAATG